CAAAAGGAAGTACTCTGTCGTAATTAAAAGTAAACTTGATAAATCGGATAAACAGAGTAAAATTTAATGATAGTGCAACATTTCACCAGGTTAACCTGGCATCATCAGTTACATCAAGTACAATGAATGCATTGAAACTACAAATATATATAATAATACAGTGCAAGGGTACATTGAACTTTGATTGCGTAAATTTAACAGTAAGGTGTAATATTTCCGGAGGGTGTTTATTGATAGGGCTTGGCTTCTAGAGGATCAATATCCGTAATCAACAAAATAGGAGAATATAATACTCTTTCAAAAATATAAAATATTATAACAGCTCAATTTATAAATTAAATACTGTAACTTGAAAATTGTAGACAGAGGTAAAGTGATTCACAGAAAATAATATAAAAAAAACTTTTGAACATTAACATAGTTAAGTTAAAGTTAGAATAGATACAACTGTGTGCCAGAATACTTATTTATTTTAGGCATAAACTGTTTTATAAGCAAGGCTTCCTTAATTTTACGACGGTTTATATTTTTTTCTCTGCTAAGAATTTTAACATTATCAAGATGAAATGAATGACCATATTTAGACATACGTTCATGGACACGAGAAGGCGATTTGTAACGTTCTTTAATTCGGGTGGCTACTTGCCTGTAGGTTTCTCCAATGTAAGTTTCGTTGCAATTTTCACACTTTATTTGGTATACGGAACAGGATGTATCAGTATCTTTGTATTTGTTTCATAAAATTTGACCTAATTGTCTGCCGGGAAGAAACACAAATTGTACCGGTAAATTATCATATTTTTGTTCACAATTTTTTCCAATACATTCTGATGCAATGTGAAACCTTTGGGATGAAGGGGATTATGCAATAAATGGGATGTTCCTCTATAACTGACCTGTCGTGGGCTTCAGAGGTTTTCCCTTCTATCGTTGAGATGACCTTGTTTACGGATTGTAGCGAGAAATCGTTCTGGACTGTTAATTCATTTTTAAGCACTTTGAGATCCGACTGTAAATGTTCGTTGCTAGAGCAAATTGTCTTCACTGAATGATAGAGAGTTTTATTATGCCTAATTTTTGTAAAGGATTGTGGTAAGAGTTCCAGGGTACTTGTAAGCCAGTATGGGTGATTTTGTGATAAGTGGACGTGTGGAAAGTTCCGTCCTGTCTTTTGACAAGAAAATTCAGGAACGGAAGTGTGTGATTTTCTTCATATTCCATCGTAAATTGGATATCAAGATGGATTAGGTTCAGGTGTGGTAAAAACTTTTCAATGGATGATGAATCCTGGAATCCAACAAAAATATCATCCACATATCTTACCCAGAAAATAGGTGGATGAAGGAAAGTTGAACAAAATAATCAATAAGCTGTTCAGATAAGAAAAGAGTTTGATAACAGTACTTTTTATATTATTAAGTAACAGGCTTTCAACTTGTTTATTTCAGGATTGTCAGATTACTCAGAGGCTTACCGAGTAAAAATAATTTGGAAATTTGTGGGAGCTATACAAACAATTAAATTATCAACACTAACGTGTTCTACAATTCATTAGAACATTTTGCTGAAGTTTTGCTTCTTTTAGGTATCCTGTACTATTATATTTTTTCACGATATATTCCCTCGCCATGGGACCTGATGGTTAAGGCACTCGACTTGTAATCTGTAGGTTCTAACCCACCATCAAAGATGCCTGTCCTTTCAGCCGTTACTGAGTTATAATGTGACTGTCAATCCCTCTTTTCGTTCATAAATAAGTATCTCAAAAGTAGATTATGTTGGATAGCTGCTTTCCCTCTAGTCTATAACTTTTAAATTAGGGACTGCTAGCACAGATAGTTCTCGAGTAGCTTTGTGTGAAATTATAAACACAAACAAACTCTTGACTCGGATCTTAACTCAAAGCCTGTCACACGCCAGGCAAGTGTTCTAACAACTGGGCTAAAGGATTTACCCATGGCGTTTCCTAGTAAGTCACTTTTTAATTTTTAACAATATCGAAAAAGAAGAAGTGGTATCATTAATGAGGTATGATAGCTCTTCGTCTTTTCTGATATGTTTAAAATTGTAGATATTATTTGAACATTGTAGCTATGAACTTTTTCCCTGTAAATGTTGAAATGGTTCTAGACCCACGATCATGGAATAGTTGGAAATTTGTTACTATGTATGTGACCGAGCCTATAAATGCTTTTAAAATTTGATTTGTGGCTAGAGGTACATGTGACTGTTCCTTTCTGAAAAGAGAGATATTTATACAGTGGGATTAATGTTTGATGTGGAATCTACCAGTTCTAAAATACAATAACTAACTTTTAGAGAAGGAAAATTCTAATTTTAATGATTGCTGTGTTTGACCAATGGTCTCAGGTAATCAATAAAGCAGCTTTTATTTCAGAAAACGTTTCTGACTCATGATGGTGAGAACAAAGCTTGTCGATGGTGTTAAATTACACTTTTATTAAAATGAGATGAATAAATATAGAAAAAAAAGGGGGGGTTCCTTAATATTTATTTAGTGTTGGCTTTGATGACTATCAATAATACTTCAGCTATTTTTCTTCTGTTGATGTCCAGTTTTCTTCAGATTATTTTGACATTATTATGAGAGACTTCTAATCTACATACAACACATCAGTAATTCAATCAACTATCTCTTGTAATAACACTTCAGGAGCCAATATACAACAATCCCTATCATCTGCATGCATCTTCTATACAAATGTTTCAACAACCAACACCTGTATTTTAGGAGTAAGTATACAACCCCTGACACATTACAATTACTATTTTAATTTGTGTATTTCAAGTTTATAACATTAGTATCTTTATAAACCAATACCTAGTAGCAGAATCTAGTACTGAACCTTTATGTTATGTTGGATCAAAATCGTACAATCAACCAAATCCTCAACAGATTACTTAAAATGTATATCACAGGGTTGTGGTAATACATAGGGGTACACAGAATTACTGATATTTCAGTAAATTCCAGTTTGTTAAAAAAAATTCATATTGCATTATTATTTTGATGTAGTGGTATATCAAAATGACATTTTTATAAAATGATGCCACACAATGGTTTTAATTTTACATAAATTCAATGCAAGACATGATTTGCCATTTTGGCTTCTTGCATTGCTAAATGATGCAAGCATTTTACAAAGTAAACTACCCATAGCAACATGGTGGAAGAAACAGAAATTAGTTAAGAGTTTTGCCCACAGTGACACAGCCCTCTGTATTGCAACATATTACAATACAATAGCACTGATAATACCCAGCTCTGGTGACAAATAATCCTTAAAATATACACACAGTGGACAAATTGCTTGGAACTAATTCATTCATCACTAATAATGTTTTTTATGATGGTTTATGATTAAGTACTGTTGCTTGACAAGCTTCTGCAAAAGACTGTGAGGTTAAGTTTCAACCACACATCTTTTGCTGCATGTGGACGTAAGCTTCCAATACCACATTTAAACAAAATCACAAGGGCTACACATGATTTAGTGGTTAGTTTGCCAAGCTTCAGATCAAAATGTTCAATTTTAAAATATGATACTGAACACACACCACATTATCAGATGTGGGGTAACTGTGAGTGACAGGTGCTGCTGACCCCTCTGGTGAGCAGTTTTAAAGTACTGATGACTATGTATGAACTTAATGGTCCCTAAATTGTCATTCAGATTGAAAATAAAGAATTGACAAAAGTCTATTGGAGTTAGTTGCATGTAATCTGTTGTAGGCCTTTTATTTCATGATTGTTTTCATCATTTGTTCATTAATTTTGCGCAAAGCTACTTGAAGGCTTCAAATTCGATGACGAGGAACCCACTTTGAGACTAATAATGGCTGGAGACGGCTTGAATGGGTAATGAAGAAAAACTTATATTAAAGTTTTT